ACCACACCGCAAATACTTTTTTGACAAGTATTAACTGAATGACTACTCCAAGCAAGTCACTACGCCAGGTACTATGTATGAATAATGCAAAGGTGAATTCCCTATTATCCTTAAGGATCTTGCAATAAAATTCAAAACCTGGGAGAGGGAGTGGAGGAGAAGGATTGCAGAAGAGGTAAATTTCACAAAAATATTGGGAAAAGAGTACTAGAAAGAGCCAATTTCAGGATTAATAAGAAACCTTGAGATTTAGGACAGAATGCCTCTCTCAAGTGTTATGTAAATTGTGTCCCTAACTCATTCACAGAGCAAGATCATTACCTTATAGAGCTTTATATAAACATGAATATTATAATTTAGAAGATTAAAATAAACTTGTTGGATGTCTTTAATCGGAAGAATGTTGCCACCTGCATGACAGAAACTAACATTTACTTGTTTCAGATGAATTCATCTTCTCTCATTAGTGACCCTGTTCATGACTCAGACACGTAGATGCAGATATAAAGAGAAGGATGCATAGATCATATGGAAAAGATATCCCTTTGAATTTAAATCAAGTTGGGGATAATGATTTGGGAATAGTTCACCAGCTGTTTAGGAAATCCTGGACTCTCATGTTGTCTACATTTACAACTTGCAAAGAAACTAAGAGGTAAATATGTTCCTTTTCTGTGAAGCTTCTTTAAAATGTATATCTATGTTACTCTTACATGTATATGTATATATGTAAATAGTTGGTAGGGAGAGTTGGTAGCTTTCATTGAATATATTTAGCTGTATCTTTTCAACCAAAATGTAAATCCGTAATGTATTCTAATGTAACTCAATTAGAGCTACTAACACCATCTGTATATATATTTTCAGTTCAGCTGTCAAAAAACACACAAATATACCCTAGTAATACAATATTCAATAGTTGTATAATATTTCAATGTAGGATACTTGATTTAACCTTTTTCTATACTGAAATGCATCAATTTTCGTTTTCTTCCTTTTATTACTTTAAATAATTTTTTTCTTTATTGATTTTAGAGAGAGAGGAAGGGAGAGGGAGAGAAAGATAGAAACATCAATGAGCCCAGCCGGTATGGCTCAGTGGTTGAGCATTGACCCATGCACCAAGAGGTCGCCGGTTCGGTTCCCAGTCAGGGCACATGCCCAGGCTGTGGGCCAGGTCCTCAGGGGAGGGCATGCAAGAGGCGGCCAATGGATGTGCTCTCTCATTGATGTTTCTATCTCTCTCTCCCTCTCCCTTCCTCTCTCTCTAAAATCAATAAAGAAAAAAATTTTTTTAAAAAAGAAACATCAATGAGAGAAAACATCCATCGGCTGCCTCCTGCATGCTTCCCCTTTAGGGATTTGGCCCACAACCTGGGCATGTGCCCTGACTAGGAATTGAATTGGCAACCTCTTGGTGCATGGGCCGATGCTCAACCACTGAGCAAGTGTGGCTCTTTTAAAACGTGGGCCCAAATTCTTAGAAACTCTTCCCATTGATAGGTGAGGACTACAGCCCCTCCCCTTGACTTGATAGGAGACCACGGAAAGGACTGCAACCTGGGAGGCTGGTCATAAGAAAGGGTGCAGTCTCTGTTTTGTTTTCTGGAACACCTGTGTTTGGAGTTCTGCTCTGGCAAATAAGAAATCTGACCACTCTGCCACTGCTGTGCCATGAGAAAGCCAAACTAAACGAGGGGCCACGTGTGAGCACTCTGGTTGGTCAGCAGCCTGGTTTTCTTGACATCCCAGTCCAGGGGCCATGTGAGAGTGGAGCCTCCAAATGATTCCAGGCCCCAGGATTATTGAGTCACTTCCAGCCACTGGGTCTTTCCAGCTAAGGCCCCAGAAATCATGGACCAGTCATCTCCTCCATGCACTGTCCAAGTTTCTGACCCACAGAATCCATGAATATAACAAAATGATTATCTGAAGCAGCTAAGCTTTGGGGCAATTTATTCCGCAGTAACAGTAACGGGAGCCCTTACTTTTCTATGTGCCTATCATTAATTTGTCCCTAAATTCTCCAAATTCTCCATATGATCACATTAGATCATATGATCAGTACCATATTTTTCCTTGGAGACAGATCTCCTGGAGATCTCTGTCCTCTTGTCCCAATCTAGACTGGATGCATAGCCATCACCTAGAACTTGCTTGGAATAGAAACAGTATAGCATGTGACTTTAAGGATGTGGGCCCTGGAGCTAGGCTACCTGGGTTTGCATCCTGGCTCCACCACACGCTATCTGTGTGACTGCACACAAGTCAGTTAAATCCTCTGTGCCTCAGGTTTCTCAGAACAGTTCTTGGCACATGGTAAGTGCTTGTACTGTTTGCAATACTGTTGCAGTTTAATATTCTTCCCTTCATATCGTCCTAGGATTTCTCACTGCCTCACACCTATGTCTCACCCCATTTCCTAAATTCCATGTTTTCTTTTTCTTAGTTACTCTCATGCCTTGATGGAATATCTCACCTGCTCCCTGAAAACAGATGCTTGGAAGGTAAGTTTTTTGAGACTTTGTTTATCTGTTTTAAATTGTCTTTATTTGCCCTGGCCAGTTTGGCTCAGCGGTTAGAGTGTTGGCCTGCGGTCCAGAGAGACCCAGGTTCGGTTCCCGCTAAGGGCATGTACCTCGGTTGCAGTTTGTTCCCGGCCCTGGTTGGGTCGTGCAGGTGGCAGCCACTCGATATGTCCCTTTCACATCGATGTTTCTCTCTCTCTCTCTTTCTCTTCCTCTCTCTCCCTCCCGCTCTATCTGAACAAAAAATGAAAAAATGTCCTCGGGTGAGGATAAAAATAAATAAATAAATAAATAGTCTTTATTTAACGTCACACTATAACATGGTTGGCATAAAATTCTAATTCGGCAAGAAGTGTCTCTTTGAATGCTGACGTAAACTCCATCGTCTGGAAGCTTTCAGTGTCACTACTATGGCCATTCTGATGCTTTTTTTTTAAGTCCCTGACCGGAAGTGAACCCACAACCGTAGTGTGTTGGGACGGTGCTCTAACCAACTGAACCACAGGGCCAGGGCCCCATTCTGAGTCTTGATCCTTTGCAAGTAGGGTTTTCTTTTTCTTTCTGTAAGTATTAGGCTATCTTCTTTATCCCCACTGTGTGATGTGGGTCTTTTAAAATTCATTATTTAGGGCACCAGTTCAATTTGGAGGCTCAGGTCCTTTAATTATTAGAATATTCCTTTTCTTTTAATTCTGATTTCTAAGTCTTGAGTTGTCCTTTTTTAAAGATAGCACCTGCTCTTATTTCACGGATTTAATATCTTATCTCCTCAGTATATTGATTATAGTGCTTCCTTTTTTGCACTATCTTTGTTTCTTTTAAGTTCCCTCTTTTTATCAGTCTGCATTCGACTCGTTCTTTTTGTTTTTTTAAATGTTAGTTTCTGTCTTTTATTAACCCATATACAATTACTTGTCTTGAGGTTTGTTGAAGCAATAGGTCAGACATTTGCCACAACAGTGTCTGTCAAAGCGGCTGCCAGAGAAACTCCAGCACCACATTCACCTGAAGGGCACTCCCGACCAGGGCGACTGGTTTTGCCATTCTCATCCCATCCACCTTTTGTAGGACTTCAGGACAGCCAGCTTAACCTTCTTTCACTTATGCTTCTTCTTCTTGGAAGTGGTGTAAGACTTCTTCCTTTTCTTAGCACCGCCACAAAGTCTCAACACAAGGCGAAGAGTGGACTCCTTGGATGTTGTAGTCGGATAAAGTCCGTCCATCTTCCGCTTGCTCGCCAGCACAGGCCAGTCTTTGCTGGTCAGGAGGAAGTCCTTCCTTATCCTGGATCCTGGCCTCTACATTTTGTGTTGTATCCGAGGGTTCAACCTGGAGAGTGACGGTCTTCCCCATAGGGTGTTCAGGAAAACCTGCGTCTTGGCGGCGATTCCACCACAGATGACGGATCGGAAAGGGAAGAGCCTTGACTCTTTTTTTTTATAGCAGAGGCTTTACTCAAATGCCCAGGGTCCTCTCGTACCTATTGTACTGCATTTGGATTCTTTGAGGCTTATCCACTAGTGTCAGGAACATGGCACGTTTACTGGGGGAGCCTCAATCATTCACATCTGTAGGTCTTTTGGCCTGGGTTTGACAGTTTGCCCAGAAAGGAATCCTGTTGTTTTCTACCTGGTGAATATGAGAGATTTTAAGATGGCTAATAGCATTTTGAGAGCCAGTAAGAGAAGAGGGGTAGGTGAGCAAAAATCGTATCTTTCTGATGCAGATATCACTTAGGACCTCTCTGCTTTAAGTATGGTGGCCAGCCTCACCTGTGCCTGGCTCCTTCCCCATGTCAGTCTCAGATTAACCCGGTCAATCAGATCCACGAAGCTAAATAAATTACATGAAGCTTTGGGTAAAAGGGCAAGAGCTTTTGTACTAGAGTTTCTGGATTAAACAAAAACCAAAAAAAGTTTATTTTCATCACCACAACTTCCCCAAACCCAAAAGAGGGAAATTTAGACGCTTTAAGCCCCTTGTACCCCTCCCACTTAACCATGATTCCCCCCTATGAAAATGCCTCAGAACTCGAATATTCTCCACGATTGTTTTAAAATAACCCAATGAGCTGACAGACGGACCTCCTGGAATTCTGCAGCTTGTGCTAGAGTCTACAGATGGAAAATTGCCGTCAGTTAAAGGGTGGTGCTATTACCACAGCCCAATTTTCGAAAGCCTTTAGAAAATAAAAAAATCATCTGAGTTCATTAGTATTCACCACAGGCACTAGTTTTGTGTTGCAGTATTCTAAGAACTCAGATAATAACAAACACAGCATCGCAATTTCTAACTTGTAACTAACAGTTTACCTCATAATGTAGGTTATAAAGCAAAACTTTTACCTGTTACATGATTAAGCCCTTATATGGCTGATCTATATGGCTGATGTCTTAGATCAGCATAAAATAAAGTTATGTTGTAAAATCAGCTAATACTACTGGCATCTAAAATAGGAGTGATTTCATTTACCTCGCCAATCTGTCTAATCCACAAATCTCTTCCAAGAATCTCCTGATGTAAGACGACAGGGGCTGAGTTCAGATTAAAAGTCATGGAGTCACTGGTTTTTTCTTTAATAAAAGGCTGGAGATCAGAATTTATCTAGAAGAAGCAGTCAAGAGTTAAATCAGTGAAACACAGGCACTAGTATGCTTTGGTCATATACAAAAAGCACTATGCAATAAAATGAAAAGTCAAACTTAATGAATGCAGGTTTTAGATGTCCTATAATAAGCCAAAGAACACTATATGATTAACAATAATCTTTAAAATATTTAAAAATAGTTTTTCTCTAACGCATTCCTTTTTTATTTGGCAGAAACCTTTATTATATTCTAAGTTCAAGGTAAGAGTTTACAAAAATATTTAATAAATACAATTGCTTAACAAACTAACCTAAGATTTAATTAAATATATTTTAAAATCTGTATATATTCCATTTATATTAATATATTTCCCCCTCCTATGAGCTATTTAAGTAACACCTAAGGTATATCTATATTAAATGAAAACTTACAGTTCCATATACACATAGAAAACAATATAACAACTAATCTTAGGGCATTTTATATTTCAATATGCCCATTCAAAAGGATCATCTATTAGAATTAAAGCTTTCAATTTTATTCAATGTATTTCCAAATTTCATTAACTTTTCACAATCTGTTTTACATGAGGAACTATAATGGAACTGTAATAAAAGTGAAGATATTTTTCTATTCTATAAATGGTAACATTACATGTTATTTAATAATTGCAAGAGTTCTTTTAAGAACCCTTTTAGCTGGTAAGACAAACATCACAAATATGGTTAAAGTAAGCTGTAGCTTTCTGTCAAAATTATACACTATCCACCAATCACACTGTTTATATACCAATCACTGCCTAAGACTGATAAGTTTCAAACACACATTAAACATTTTTTTGAGATCTAAATGCTTATTAAGTGGCCAAAGGTTTCTTGTGTATCACTTTAGTTCTTTAAGTACTGAAAAGGAGAAAGGGTGTGCAAATACCTTGTGACTCATGGCCATGTGCTTCCCATACTGGAACGCCATATCCTGAACCTCAGCATCGTGCTTTGCTAATTCCATTGCAGCTTGGCAGCTCTTTGCTAATAAGGCACCATGGGAGAGAAAAGTCTGCTCCTTCCAAGTTGATATTCCAATGTCATTTGTGATATAATTTTCCTAAAAAATGCAACAAAAGCCATAACAAAAAAGGTGTGGGGAGTAATTTAATTGTTTTGGTTTTAGAAGAATAAGAGTTAAGATATAAACTATCCAAAACATTCATGCTATTGCAACAAGACAGAACTAAGAGATGCTGAACTACCTAAAGAAAACTAAGGAGGCGAGAACTGCCTTTTTTAGGGTGGCAGGGTAGGGAATGAAAAAAAAAAAGCTGAAGCAACTTTTATCTTCAGCTGGCGACTTCTATGAAAATATATTTATAAAATAAAGCAAAATTAGAAATTAGGACCTCTAACTCCCTTCTATATTCATACCAGTTCTTAAGTGCTAGTATTTCAAAATACAAGAATCCTATTGCCTTTAACTTATATGAAAACGTCAGAGACATAATGACAGAACTGTGTTTTTTGTTTGTTTGTTTTGTTAATCCTCCCCTGAGGACATTTTTCCATTGATTTTTAGAGAGAGTGGAAGGGAGGGAGACAGGGAGACGGGGAGAGAAAGAGAGATATCGATTGGTTGCCTCACACATGAACCTGACAGGGGCCGAGAATTGAACCTGCAACCCAGGTACATGCCCTTGACTAGAATCGAACCTGAGACCCTTCGGTCTGCAGGCAGACACTTAAACCACTGAGCCAAACCAGTCAGGACAAACTGCATTCTTTTGTAAACAGTTATATAAAAAAAAATCAGAGAGGCAGCAACCCATCAAAATGGAGTATGGTTAGATTAGATTATTCATCAAACTTTATTCCCATAAGAAGAAACAATGTGATAAGGGAGGATAGAACTCTAGTTTATTTGATTTCATCCTTTTAGATGATGAAAATCATTGTAGTATCTGTATGTATACACACACTTAGTGATGGCCAATAAATGTATAATGTAAGGCACATCTGCAATTTAAAATTTGCTAGGCAATACATTAAAAAAGTGGAAAAAAGGTGAAATAAATCTTAATGCTATATTTTATCTATCCCAATATACCCCAAATATTACTTCTATATATAATCAATATAAAATTATGAATGTGATATTTTATTTTTTCATACTAAGTTTTCAAAATCAGTGTGTATTTTACACTTACAGTACATCAATAGCCACATTCCAAGTACTCAACAGGTACAGGAACTAGTGGCTAGCCTATTGGACAGCTCTGCTCTGCGCAGTGAGCTCTCTGAGGACAGAATGATGAAGTAAGTACATAAAACAATGTTTATTTTCTGGTGTTTCTTTGAAACCTTTAACTAGAATCCATCGAGAAGGATTAATTAGCCAAAACACTTTACTTCCTGCTGTTCATACTGTAATCCTTCTTTCACCATTATTTGAGGACGAAATAACAAATAATAAGAAAACTTTAAAAGGAACCATTATTAGGTCAGCTCAGATTTAGCCCCACCTCTTTCACCATGCTGAAGGGAATCTTTAGCCGACTGATCAGATCAAATCTTTGGCTTAGTTTATAAAGCCTTTAAACAAAAACAGAGTTCCACTTATAACAACAGTTGCAAATATGTAACACGGCATTCTCTAATAATCAGAAAAGTTACACAAAGGAGAAACAGTGTATAAAATTAAGATCTGCTTTACAAGCATTAGGCATAAATCCAAACATTTAATATCAGAAATCTGAGAATGTTATTTTAGGATGTGCAAAGTTAATATATTATATTAATAAACCTAAGATTAAAACCATTATCTTTCCATAGATACTAAAGAGGCAGATGACAAAATTCAACACCTATTCTTGATAAGGAATAAAAACACAAATAAAATAGGAACAGATGTGCATTTCTTCAATATGACAGGTATGTGTGTGCATGTATGTGGGTACACATGCCAAAATAATCAGCAACTACTTCAGGGAAATACATGAGCCATTCTTCCTAAAATCAGTAATAAGACAGGGATACCCATACCACCACTGCCTTTCACAATGTAATGGAAGAGGCAGAAAAATGACAGATGTATAAAAATTAGGAGTTTATCATTCTTTGAAGCCAACATACCTGTATATTGGGAAAAAAATAAGAGACAACCAAAAATGATTACAAACAAGAAAATAATTCAGTAAGCAACATATAAAATTAATTTATAATTAATATAATAAATGTATTAACCATAGCTTTCATACACAGAAACTAATCAGAAAGTAGTATAAATAAGGTCTTTTCTTCTATTACAGCTATGAAAAGAAAGATAAAAAAGCTGGGAATAAACTTAGAAATATACAAAATTGCTATGAAGAAAATGTTAAAATACTACTGAAGGAATAAAAGTAACTTGAATGAATATAAAGACATATATGTTTTAAAATAGTAAGATCCAACTTCTTAAAGTTACTTCAATAAAACTAACCCTCTTACCCTACCCCTTGCACCAGGCAAGCTGATTGTCAAATTCATGTGGGAAAAAACCGACAAGACAGAAAAACTGCAGGAAAAAAAAACAAAAACCCACCACTGGGGCAGGGGGTTATGGATGTCTGGCCCTGCCAGATATTATAACATACTATAAAAAGCCTCAGTAATTGAAAAAATAGTGTACTCTTAAAACAGACTAATAATGAAACAAAACAGACAATCCAGAAATCAATCAAATTTATATACAGGAATTTCCCTATATTTTAGAGAAACGCCGGGCTTTTCAGTAAATAGTGCTGGTATAACTGAATAGCTATCTGGAAAAATAGACTGCTCTGCATTTCACATCATTTACCAGGATAAACTCCAAACGGCTAAAACAAATGCAAAAGAACCAACCACAAAACCAAAGACAGTGTTAGTAGACAAAAGACAGAATGGAAAAGTATTTTCATTTCCTATCACAGACAGATGGTGGTCAGTTAATAAGAGGCCCCCCACAAAGATGTCCACATCTTTTTTTTTTTTTTTTAGAGAGAGAGAAGAAGGGAGAGAGAGAGGTAGAAACATCGATGTGAGAGAGAACCATCGTTCCGCCGCCTCCTGCACGCCCCCTGATTGGGAATTAAACCGGAACCTCTCAGTCCATGGGACGACACGCAATCCACTGAGCCACACCAGCTGGGCAGATGTCCACATCTTAACCCCTGGAACCTGTGAATGTTACCTTACATGGCAAAGGGGGCTTTGAAGTTATGATTAAGTTCAGAATTTTGAGCTGGAGGAATTATACCAGATGAACTCAGTGGGTTTACTCTAATCAGAAGGACCCTCATAAGAGGGAGGCAGCAGGGTCTGAGTCAGGAAAGGTGACAACAGAAGGAGAGAGATTGGAAGATGCTATGCGGGTGAACTTGAAGATGAAGGAGAGGGCCAAAGCCATGGGATGAAGGTGGAAAATAGAAAGGGAAGGAAATGTATTCTTCCCTTGAGCCCCAGAAGGATTGCAACTTAATTTGGGGGCTTCTGACCATGGAAAAAACTTTCCACCTTCCCAAAGTTTCACTCTTAGTGTTGGTGAAGCTAAATAGGCCCCTCAAACATGGCTGGTGGCTGTGGAGGCGGGACAGAAGTTTCCCAATAGCTATCATAATTACAAATGTATTTGCCCTGTGACCCAGCAATCCTACTTCCAGAAATGAATTCTACATATAAGCCCATACACACGTGAAATAAAATACATACAAGGTTACAGTCTACTGTTTACTCAGCTGCCAGGGTGATAATTTAAAAACATAAGCCAGGACAACCACCATTATTATTAGCTCATCCGTTAAGACTTGTGAAGTTGCAACTGTCCTAGAAAATTGAGGGCACAAGGTTCGGTATTCAAATCCAGCGGAAAATGAATCAATTACATTTTCTCTTACTGGAGTTGCATTTTTATTGATAGATACTAAAGAATGCTTTATGTCAGCTGAAGAAATATTCCTAGGCAAAACTGAAAAGTTTATTAACATTCACTAAAATAGATTTTTGGTTCTGTCTGCTGCCCTCCATGGGTCCGAGGAATGGAAACTGATGTTCAGGAGTCAGCAGTGACTCCTGGGCAGTAACTTACAGACACTTCCACTACACAACACAGTGAATGCTATTAATCTTCTGTGCAGGATAGCTCAGATCACCTCCAAACTATACATAGACTGCATCTGCTACATACAGGATGATAACAACTAAAACTTACATCATTGAGCAAAGTCCTATTTGGAAAACACTTCAAAAGATAAAACTGAGTGATTTATTTAACCCAATTTAGAGTACCAATTATAAATGTTCTTTTAAAAGAATATGAAAATAATTAGACCAGTTGAATTATAATGTTCAAATATATATTTACTTTAAAGATTTTTAAAATTTAAAAACTAAAAGTGGAAAACAAACAAACCATAAGCCAGACAGAACCACACTGCCTTCGAGCTGTTTCCCAGGCGCCCCAGGCGTGATTCTCCTTGAGGCCTCTGCACTTGCTACTGCTCCATTCCGCCCCACCCCCACCCCCAGGCGTTTGCACGGCTTCAGTTCTCATTGTTTTTTGGTCTGTAATCAAATTTCAATTCCACATCCCTACCCATCACTTGCCCTCTCTTTACCATGCTTTAAACATTGATACTACTGGCCCCCTGACATGGTTATTTGTCTGATGTTTTACTGCTTGCCCCCTGACTAGAATGCCAGCTCCAGGAAAGCAAGGACTTTGTTTTGCCCTCTCTGAGCCATCAGTACCCAACAGAGTGCATTAGGCGTGCAATAAACACTTGCTGAATCTCTATCTTTCTTTTGGTGTCTTTCTCTTTCCCTTCCACCTCCCTCTATCCTTCCTACACTGGATATGATAAAGGACTGAAATAGTGCTCCCTGAACGCTTCCCTACCACCCAGAGAAGCAAGGTGAACTCTACAGTACAGCTTCCAAGGCCCTCCTTTTCGATACCAGGCAATACTTCTGGTTCCATCTCCTGCCCCAAACATCCCCTTTGAGGCCTGAATTTTAGCAACACAGGACAATTTGCTGATTCTTGAAAAACATACGTATTTTCATACTTGTGTGAATTTAAAAATATCATTCCTT